AAATGTAAATTATGTGCAAAACTATATTAGTTGCTGGAACTAAGTTAGAAAAATAAATATGAAGGTCAATTAAATTATAAAATGTTAGATAAAGCTCTCCTTTTTTAATTTAATTTGTGCATTTTTAATTGAATTTATTTATTGGTCCATTTATATATTTCTGCCTTTTTTTTTTTTCTAGTTATGTCAGTTTGGGTCCTCCACACAGCTGGACCCCCCTGCTGTCGGTGTTTTCCTGGATCTTCCCATAACATGAAGAGAATTGCTTTTATTTTTCTACGTCTCCAGACAGCATGCAACATCACCAACACTAGTTGATATGACAGAATAATTGCGACTGTCCCGATAGCAGCAACACGTATAACTTATTTTCATTGTCCTGAGAWGTGTGGTCCCTGTGAGTTTGTGACTTTACTTCCTGTTTACTACAGACATGAGTAGCATCAACGTCTGACAAAATTACACTTTGCGTAGCCTGGTTRATTCACTCCAAACCACTTGATGGAAACACGGTTGATGGGCATTTCATTTTTTTTGCAACATTTTAAAAGTTTGCTSGGCTACTGAGTGATTGACGTGAGGACGCCTAAAACAAAGACCTACGTTCTGATCGCAGACCAGCTAAATAAACCGTGTTTGTGCATTTTACTAGCCTCACAAATGAGGTGTCATTTGCAACATATTCGAATAAAAAAAACATTTATTATAAACCCTTTGTCTGTATGTTATGTGTGAAAATCGACACACAAGACTGAGACATAAAAATAAAGGTAAAAGTGATATAATGGTCATTCTTGGATAAATTCAGTCTTGATAGATAAACATCTGTCACTTTTTAAAACAGCCTTTCTGTACTTTGCAGAAACTTAGCACAAATGTGGGGTATTGCTGGACAAAGAAATGCTAAGTGGAACCTTGGCTTCTTATCGCTCCTTTGAAAAACACTCACAGGCTGCTCCACTTCTGGAGAAACCTAGACCCAAATGGAAAAAAGAGAAATTATTCATAAAGTTGCCTTTTTAACTGTATTCAGACTTTTAAAATAAYAACACTTACACTCTTTGATGTGCTAAAAGAAATGTTAAGCTTTTAATTTCCCTTATGTTTATATAAATGCTTTCATGTAGACTTTTACTGATAATTATTCTTTACCGCTTGTGAATGTGCTGCAGATCAGAGAAGTGCAGTTAATGTAAGGAATATTTCAGACATGTGAGCCAAAGAACAACTGCCATCCCAAGAGATTAGAGACAGAGTATGAATATCAGTATCACTTTTAAGTGGCTAAGGCAAACACACAGAGATATGGGAAAAACCATTATCATGTCACATTTGCCTTTAGCAGCAAGTGATAATAAAAAATCTCTTATGTGGATCAGGTTAACAAACATCCTAACTTAGCAGGGAGGGAAGAGTGTGATTTGAATGTAAACTCAACTTAAAATGGAGCTCTGTAGTTTTAAACTCGAACATTTTTCAGTTTGAACTGAAGATAACTTTTATCAAACTTAACAATAAGTTGTTGAAAAATAACTTTACCATGTTTTACCATTTTAGGTTCAGTTCAGTTTATTTTTTATTTTTTATGTACTTTTGTGTGTCTCAGGGCTGAAGGGCAGAGAAGATCAGAAGGCCTGAAGATCCCACAAAGGCCCTATAGCATAAGCGGTAGATCAGTTCTTGACAATAATTTCTTGTAATACCAGAAGTTAGGAGRCAATTATTTCACTCATTTCATTACTTTGGGAAAAGTACTGTGTGATGTTAGCAGCTGCAACATTTGTGTCAAAGGTTCTGGTAATTTTGGTCCTTTTTATTTTCTTATGGATGTTGGTAATTTAAATCTACACAATTTAAATAATTTAAAAGTTAGCGTTTACAGTATATTTAATAAATATTCATATTTTTAACAACTTTTTATATGGTGGTTGTGAGGTTTTAGCAGGTGAAGACCCAGGGCGCTGGCAAAAAAAATCAAAGGTGCAAAAAAAGGTTTATTATAATAACAAAAAGAGGGCTGAAGACAGCAAAAACTTACAGACAAGTGCTTCTCAGGAGGAACAGACAGAACACCACACAGGCTGAGGGGAAACAGCACAATGAACCAACACAAGATTGAGACAGGACAGGACTTAAATACACTGACAACTAATGAATGAACAGAAAACACCTGGTGAGAAACACGAGGGTGACAATCAGGGTAATGTGGGGCAGCTGGGCTGAGACACACAAGGGAACATAGAAACACTAGGAAAACCAAGGTGAAAAATGACAAACCATGACAGTACCTCCCCCTTAACGATCGTCAMCCGATGATCAACAAGGAGAGGCACGGAACAAGGGGAGACAGGACAAAACAAACTCAAGGACAAAACAYGGAAGTCCATGGGAATGGTCAGAAAAACCATCCCACATAGGGCAAGAGTCCAGGGGGACGACCAGGAAACCCATGCCAACGAGGCAGAAGGTCAGAAAAGTGGCCAGGAAACCACCCATGGCCAGAGCCCCATGAGGAGGCCGGAGCAGACGCGGAACCACAGGAGGAGGCGGGAGCAGACGTGGAACCACAGGAGGAGGCGGGAGCAGACGTGGAGCCAAGGGAGGAGGCGGGAGCAGACGTGGAGCCAAGGGAGGAGGCGGGAGCAGACGTGGAACCAAGGGAGGAGGTGGGAACAGACGTGGAACCAAGGGAGGAGACGGGAGCAGATGAGGAGCCGTCGGAGTTTGATGGAGCAGGAGCCTCGGTGACGGCGAAGACAGGCAACAGAGGGGACGAAGAGGCAACGGCAGCCAACCCAGGCGACATGGAGGCGACGGCAGCTGACCCAGGTGACATGGAGGCGACGGCAGCCGGCATGGAGGGGACGGCAGCCGACCCAGGCGACATGGAGGCGACGGCAGCCGACCCAGGCGATGAGGAGGCGATGGGCGACGACCCAGGCGATGAGGAGGCGATGGGCGACGACCCAGGCGATGAGGAGGCGATGGGCGACGACCCAGGCGACAACAAGGCGATGTGGAGGCAACGGAGGCAACGGCAACCAACCCAGATGATGTGGAGGGGCCGGCAGCCAACCTACGAACCTCAAGTATCGCCGACTCAGGAACCACCACCGGAACCGCAGACTCTGAGACCACCKACTGCAGATCCATYGAGACCACCAACTCGGGAACTGGGACCAATGACTCAGGGGACGCAGGAATGGACTCAGGAGTGGTCTCATCAGCGGACACAGCAGCGAACCCAGCAGCAGAAACAGCCAGGTCAGGCACAGGAACCCCAGAAAAAAGACAGGGGTAGGAGTGTGGGTGAAAAAAGCCACCGAGAGCCGCTTCTCTCGGAGGAGAGATCCCCGGGAGAAGGGCAGCCATCTCAGCCAGATTTTTTTCCTGCATTGCAGAAAAATCTCAGACGTGTCCATTAAGAAAAAAGTCTTGCCTGCAGGGTGGGTACTTGGTCGGTTCATTATGTGAGGTTTTAGCAGGTAAAGACCCATGGCGCAGGCAAAAATCAAAGGTGCAACAAAAGGTTTATTATAATAACAAAAAGAGGGCTGAAGACAGCAAAAAATTACAGACAAGWGCTTCTCAGGAGGAACAGACAGAACACCACACAGGCTGAGGGGAAACATCACAATGAACCGGCACGAGACTGAGACAGGACAGGACTTAAATACACTGACAACTAATGAATGAACAGAAAACACCTGGTGAGAAACACGAGGGTGACAATCAGGCTAATGTGGGGCAGCTGGGCTGAGACACACAAGGGAACATAGAAACACGAGGAAAACCAAGGTGAAAACTGACAAACCATGACAGTGGTTGACTTTTTCAAGTGTACACATTAGTCAACTTCCTTAGTCAAATTTTGTTTCAGTTTATTTTGTCGTTTGCAATGATTTACCTTTTGTTTCTTTKTGGTAAAGTTTTATTTTTTGGAGATGCTGCTTGAGTTGCCCTGCCACTGTGTTGTACTGTTTTGCTTTTTCAGCAGAGGGAGAAGCTTGTTGTAGTTTAATTTTTATGTTTTCTGTTAAGAAAACTTGATTTTGTAAATGTTTCATTTCTTGTGTTACTATTTAACACTACTTTAATCAATCTTGTTTTGGTAACAGTTTTTGTAAATTAGTCTATTTTCTTCCTCCTTGTTGTGTTAGAATGGACTGATCAGCCACTACATAAATGTCTCACCTGTCAGTCATTTGGTCAGTTAGTGCTGTAGTTTTGGGACCATAGTTCAAAGTTTATTTGACCACTTTTATACGACCAAAACTGAAAATAATAATAATAATAATAATAATAATAATAATAATAATAATAATAATAATAATAATAATAATAATAATAATGATAATAATAAATACGTTTTTATAAATAAATTTGAAATGTCTCATGTTGGTTTATGGGGATCCTGACATATTGCAATTTTAAATCATTTTGTTGTTTTGAGAAAATTACTGATCAGTTTCTACTTTAAATCCTAGAATTTATTTTAAATGGCCTTAAGAGTAGTCGTGTTCTGTATGACTGAGAATCTACAACTTTTGTTTTTTCTTATTTATTTATTCATGGCAACATTCAAATACACAATGGTATACATTTGAGTGTCTGCAATGAATGATTCAAAACCTCTTCAATCGTTGTTATAAAACCAACGTTTTGCATATTGAAAATCAGTTATAGCAGCTGTTCTATATGACTTTGCATCATTATGTAACCTGTTTAATCTCTATCTTTGAAAAAAATTGTAAAATATATGCTGGGGAACAGTCTCAGCTGCCACACCAAATTGTTGGTCAATATGTAAAATTGACATTTAAGTAGTAATTTACATTTTTGTGTTTTTAAAGTTATTGGCCTGTGGCAGCAACTTTAAACTTGGTTGACTCCAAAAGTTAATCAGATGTCTATTACTTTCTGCAAAATACATTTAAATGTGTTCACTGGTTCATCAGACATCTTAGTAACAGACACACACAGACAGAAAAAAAACAGTATTGTCCATCTTCACCTTTATAAATAAAATATCAAAGTTCTACTGTGATGGTCTCTGAGCRCAAACAGACTCACTTTGATTTTATAATTGTATGTCAGTGTGACAGACAGTGTGGTGAAAACAGGAGAAAACCGCTGTTGGCAGGAATAAACATTTTTACTAAGTTACAGTTATAGAAAAAGAAAACACAAAATAACAAACAGGGATTAACATGCGCAATTTTAGTATACAAGACAATACAGTTACTTTTCAATATGAAAATACCATTCTACATGTCAGTATCTCACAGAGATCATTGATTAATACATCGGTATTAAAGCCAGAGAACACAATATATAAAAGCAGTACGTTTGTCTTTGATGGCCACGTTTAAAAAATATCTGCAAGCTATATACACTGTTCCATGTGCACTCCTTCCTAAAAAACAAAACCCACAGAACTGATCTGAATATGCCAATCTTGTGGATAATAATAGATGTTTTTTTTTGTTTGTTGTTGTTAAATCCTTTCGTTACATCAATACAACTGGCTTCAATCACTTCCTTTATGTTTTTTAGATTGTACATTGAAGCATCAATTAAAGCACAATGTCAAAACATAACTTTGTTCTTATGTGAGTAAAGATTAGACACGTTAGGCTAAACTACAACCGTGTAAATAATAAAACAAGCTGCCACAGAGTTACACAAAATAACTAAAAGCTCGTTATCCTGCAATTCACTGATCATTTGGGGAAAAAATAAATAAAAGTTCACCACTTGAATCAAGATGAGCAGTATTGAAGCCAAGTCACACCAGGAGTTAGCACAGTGGCGTATGTTCATGTAGCTTTGTACGTGTGTCTACTAAGTTTTAATTCAAATTAAATCAAGTTAGATTGAATAGCTGAAATTAGATTTATCTCCAACTGCTGATGTTTRTGAAGGCCAAAAAAGAAACCCAATTGCTAGTCACATTGGGTTGGCTTAAGAAAATGTACCCTCTGCTCCCCAGAAGCACTGATTACCTGAATGCAACCAGAGACCACTTAATGAGACTGACCAAAAATGAATGAGATTCCAAACAGACAGGAAACAGAAACCACAGGGTCTCTGGGGATTAAAATTGATCCTTTGGCAACAAATTTTGCATACTGAAATGTATTCTCTAAGGTTAGATGAATTTATAAAGCCACTTGCTAACAGGTAACCAGTAAACATGCCGGTTAAGAATTATCAGTCCTTTGAGATTTTTTATATTAAAATTATTATTTCTATGCAAAATGGGCACATAACAAATTGCTGTATAAGGTTTGGCCATCACACATCCCAGCATTATCTTTTTGGGAGATCATTTCAGTAAAAACTCTTTACATGATGGGAAACTGACAGAACTGACTTGCAAACTAACATTTAATAACAAGCTCAGTAAGGACATTAAATAAATACACAGCAGTTTTAAAAAATCAGTTTGCACATCTAAAACTCATAAATTGCTTAAAACAACAATACTATTGTGGGTTTGCTTTTGAGTGAAAAATTTTGGGTTGAATAAAACTTATCAGAGCAACACAATCATTAATAGTATCACCATCTATTTCGCAATACAAAAAACATTTAGAGGAAAACTGGAGGCAACAGTAATGATGATCAAAGCCAGACAAAGTCGTTGTCAAGAATTTCACAGTTTTGAATGCTGATGTGACTGGGTTTCTACACTGTTGGGAGCTCAATACTACGGTTTGTTTTGATTTGTAACTCAAAAGAATTGCCCAGCTAATCAAATTCAGGCCAGGGCTCCAATTTAAAATCTACTCCTACACTACAAATACAAATTCTGAAACTGACCAAGAAAGGCTGCTGAAAAATCAGAGCAAATAACCTACAGTGATAATTCTGGTCAAACAAAAACACATTAACATAACGTCAAAAAAGAAAGAAAAAGAAGCTTTTTGACGTCTGATGAGAACAAAGGTCATGAAACTAGTAGAGGACATTTGAAACATCATGGACTCTAACGCAATATAACAGGTGCATGAGAACTTAGCCATCAGTCAATCAAGCAGCTGAATTGTGACAGCCACAATAATGGGCCAGGAAAATCAATATCCCATTGACTGGTCTGCAGGAGTCTAATCAACGAGCACAGAGTTTTATGAATTCAGTCAAGGAGTAAATAGGACAGCCTGATTATGTCAGCCCTTTGGACCTTTTACAGGGCCTCTGGGGTCATACACACCAGTTCGGATGGTTAAGTGAGGACTTCCAGTCACCTTGCATCAATTCATTGTGCTTTCAAGAGTTCAAAACGCAGGCTGCAAAAGGCTCAAGCTAACAACTGTACCCGACYCCATGTTTTGCAAAGGCACAGTAATGTGATCAGTTGAATATATCCCTCCACCCCAGTATTGGGGCCCCAGCAATCACACCTCTGCTTTTATTTGGATGCCTTTTGACAGCCTCATCCACATAATATAAGGCTGTAAAAAGTGTCTTCCTCAGCAGAGCTGCAATGTTCTTTTGTTACTTTTCAGCCTGGTAAGTGTCCAACGGGCGGAGGTGAAGTGAGGGTAAAATAATAGCCATGCCTTRTGCTCCACTTCCAGTCAGGCCTCTTTCACCAACATATTGGCATCCATTATTCTAATGCCTTAATAGCCTATAAATTATAATATGGATGGAGTCAAACATTTATTATGCCACAGGTCATAAATACCAGTGCCAAAATTCCCTACTACATATTGAAATCTACAGTGTCTGCTCTCACATTGCCAACCCTTTTTGTCTAAGGCGCTCCTGTGCCCCGATGAAAATTTAATCAACATACCATTTCCAATAAAGCCTTGCTCCTACATTTTGAGCTTCCTGTCTCGTGTAGCTAATATTCTTCAGGATAGCAAAGCAAACAATTCCCCTGCTGCATGATGAATCTTTCCATAAGCTATCCGAAGGGGGGGGGGGGGGGGAGACACTGGGCTGAGCTCTAGTGAAGGCACTGTTATCTTGCAGTCCATTGTGCACTRTGGCAGATGGTCATTTGGGTTGTTGATGTTGCGTCTTCTGTGATATGGTGTTGAACACCGGTCGTCTTAATGTAGAGATGGAACAGCACACATGGGATCTGCTTGATGTAGTTACACCACATGTCTGCTCTCCTCAATCCCACCTTCTTTTTTTTTCCTAGACTGAGAATGCAGAGTGTGATAGGCATTTATTATTTAAAGGAGCATGAGATAGAGAGTAAAATGCCAAGATCTATCAGAGTATTGTGAAAGGGGCCTAAAGCTCGTGAGCCCGTGGCTCTCTAACAGACTTAACATTATTTCAGTAGTCAGAGTGGGTTTCAGGCACAGCTGATCAATTATGCATCTCTGACTAAGCCTGGTAAAAATCTTATGTCTAGAATGGATATTTTTATTGGCAACAGCTGCACGAGAAACAAACTTATGAATTAATGGCTTTTGGATAATTTGACAAGCTGAAAAATGGGCGCAGCCGATGATTATAACGTAATGACTGCTGAGGAGTTTAATTTGTGGATCGTTTTTACTAAACATTTTATGTTGGGTTGACGTAAGCAGCCACCTACTTTGGTATGGACTCTTTTAGGAAAGTGGGTTTTAAGGCAGTGGTATCTCCAAAAGATACTAAAGAAGGTTAAGTCATGAGTCAGAGAGATAAGAACTTGCAAAAGAAAATTCTAGAACAGTGGCACTTTCAACACTGGAAGAAAAAGCTGAACACATCCATAAAACTCATACGACCCCCATCAGTTGAATAWTTAAAAGAAGAAGCATGGTCCCTTTGAAAATTTGGTGCAGTCCAGTTATTTACCCCCCTTTTCCCAGTCCGAACTGAAACTTAGGCCWTGTGCCATTCCAGTGGTGAGTCGACAAAGGAGAGGCTTGAATAAGAGGAGGAGAGGAGGGCGCCACAGGCTGAGGTTTGACATCACCAGGCTGTACAGAGCAGTGCGCTGATAAGGACTGTGGAACGGGACAACCATCTGAGGCTTGAAGCTCCAGAGCCTCGAGCTCCCATACCTGCAACCAAAACACATGAAGTTGTGAAAARCCAGAAACAGTCATCCCACCAAAAAAAATACTAATAAAAAAGACAACTCGCACTCTGCTGTGCCCTTTAAATTTCTGACAAGCAATCATAAATCAGAAGCCAAATGTATTTATTTTTTTCTTTCATATCAAGACCATTACTGGCTTTCAACAGGAGAGGCTATTAAAGTACCCCAAGAAGATAAAGTTGGTATCACATCAAAGGGGAGTGAAGCCAACTGAGCGGCCTCACTGGTTCGCTCAGCAGCGAGATGGGAGCACAGAACTGCTTTATATGCTGCAGCCCTGTGCAGCCAGTCAACAAGGAATAATAACCCAATGGCAGAGATGGATAACATCGTGCAGGCATTTCTAAAAAGGTCTTTTTTTATCCTCACACTTAAAATAAGTCCACCACACATGGGTAAAATCAGCTCCAATGAAGCAAAATCTGTTTTCTTTCCTCTAAGCTATTAAACACTCACTTAAGCTTTAACAGTGTTCTACAAGGAAGAACCAAGAAGAAAAGCTTACTCACTTAATTTGTGGATGTGGACAGGTTCGCTGCCCACACCCTCTCCACCTTCACTCATGACCTTGACTTGAATAAGATAGTTGTCGCTCGCTGAGAGACTGAGCTCGGCTGTGGTTTTATTGGTGAAGATTGTGTTGATGTCATTGTATCGATGTCTTTTCACCACCACCTAAAGCAAGCGTAGGGGGCGAAGAAAAATCAACTAATGGGAAGAATAAATCAGAGGATAAACGAGAGCTTTGTGAAAAACTGGGACCTACCAAATAGCCAGTCACCTTTGACTCTGTCTCCATGGCTACTAAAGGGTCCCAGTGCAGCGTTAGCGTGGAGCCAATCATTCTCCATTGTATGTTGAATGGAGCTCGATCTGGCGCTGGACCAAAGGGAAAAAAAATCAGAGGTAAATAAATATATATGATGTGTTGGTGACCATAACCTGTGTTTGTCATTCTACAGGGTTGCATTTTGTAGAATGGGTTCATCTTATAATGCTTATGAGCATGACTTTTAATGAAACACCCTCATAAAAAGAACTGTGAAGTGATCTGTGGTGGTCTTGTTGCTGCAGAGTACCAAAACATACAAATAAAAGAACATGTGGCAAATTARTGCTAGGCAGTCTGTCTAGCACAGGTGGTGTGAGAGGAAAAARGTCCACTGAGAAAAATTAGGCTAATAAGAGAATAAATATTTATTTCTGTATCGTTTCCTTCTCAGATTTTGTCCCCACCTTTTTATTTCTCAAAGCGTATTCACTTTTATGTCTCATTTTAATATTTCTGTATGCATTTCAGCTTAGTTATTCAAACGAGGGTGGGTGTTTTCTTTTGAGTGTGTCATGGATGGAGTGTATAACAAAGTGAAGGAAAGCWTTAAGGGAAATCAATGGCAGGTGCAAGGAAAAAGGAGAGAGAAATTATTGAAGAAACTAAATAATATGTGTTAGTATGTTTTGAGAAAATTATTAGATTTAATGAACAGTTTATATGCAGTTTTAATGGGTCTTGATAAGTCAGTTTTTGCATTTAAAAAGACCTTTTTCAGATCATTTAAAGTTAAAAAGTTAACGCATTTTGCTGCCTTATTTATCCTAATTCAATTTTTTAATTTCTGCCGGAAACCAACAAACAAAACTAATGTTGTTGGGGTTTTTTTTTTGTTTGTTTGTTTTTCCTTACTTTATACAGTGTCTCAGTTTCACATTTGGACACATTGATGCTGATTATATTTTCAGGTTTATTTTGTTGTAGATCAAAAAATTGTTTATACTTGCACATTATTAAATAAGGTACTATCTGCATCAATTTATGATTAACGACAGTAAAAATCATACTGCTGTGCTGCAACCATATGCACAGACATTGTAAATCCGACCCTCTACATGTACTCACATTTTTTCTTTTACTCTAAATGTTGTTTTGAAACTTACGAGACCAATATCTTAACTTTGCTTGTGTCTTAAACTGCTTTAACTTCAAGGGCACCTTAAGACTTACAGGATTCACTGCATGTGTAAGACACCGAACCCCCTTGAAAACTGATAGCACAGCTGAAGGAATGCTGTACTGTTTCCATTATGAGGACAAATGCTATACCCACTTCTGGCAGGGACTCACGTGGTTTCTTTGTGGTGTTGTTGATGGGTGCCGACTGTGGTCCAGGACCAGCAGTATTGAAGGCAGCCACAGAGAGGTAGTATGCTGTGTTCGCTTTCAGCCCTGTGATGTTAACCTGCGTGTAGTTTCCAGTTATTCGCACTTTACCAACTGTGTCAGGCTTGGTGTCATCCTCCCAGTACACGACCTGTAGAACAGGGAGGTTAAAGGTTTAGATCAGGGGTGTCCAAACTTATTCCCTCAGAGGGCCAAAATGAAAATCTACCCAAASGYTGYGGGCCAAATGCAATAATATAATAGAGGAAATGCTAATACTTCTTAAGTAAAGTGCTTTTACTTTTTATGATTAAGCCAAGAGCCAGTGCAGTGGCCCATATTTTGTTTGTTTGTGTTTTTAATCTGTACACTTGCTCAGGCAGCAAAGGCTCTTGGGACATTTCATATATTGATAAAATATGAGTATTTGTAGTCATAAAGTTTTCAAATCTACATGTGTGCTTAAATCTAATGTAAATATCTTCTTTGGTTTCTTGTATTTAATTCATAATCTTAATACAATTCAGTGACAACGTCAGCTATCTGTGCTACAGTCCCTTATTTAGTCATTGGGCCATTGGATGTAATTACTGTACATGGAAATACAGAGTTTCTACAGAGGATGACAGGCAATTAAAAACTGCTGGTGGGCCAAATCAAATGGTTTGGCGGGCCAATTTTGGCCCAYGGGCCCYACTTTGGGCACCTCTGGTTTAGATGACACCATAGTATCCCAGTGAACCGTTCATTTTATGCAAATTGTTGTTTTACAGAAAATGAGTAAGGGAGAGATAAAAGAAAACATTTTTCACAGATGAAGTGTAAACTTTTTTTGTACGTCCAGTCATAACATAACTCAAACAAGAAAATAAAGTTAATTTTCCATCCATGTAAAATTGTATTTTTTAAAGGAAGGAGAATGGTTAATACAAATACTTTAAAACATATTGCAGCAAAGCAGAGGTGGACGGTATATTGTTTATAGATGATTTATGGTGAGTTTTCCTTACAGAATGGAAAATTACTTTATTGCAAATATCAAGTATAAATTCCTTCAGCTATATTTTTATCATATGCATACAGTCTACTTGGAGTTTAGCCTTCCCAAGCACCTTTAATGCACTATAGCCTTGAGAACCCCCAGTAGACAACCTATCATCCACTTCCCCACTCATAAACTCTCCAGACGGCACGGTATTTATGTTTCGAAAGCGAAGAAGACCTCTCAAAAGATGTTAACAATCATTCGGAGATGGTACATTAACAGACAAGCATAGACAGGAAAGCACTGGATTCTTATGTTGGGTGCTACACGGCACAGTTGGCAGAGGTGTCACCTCCCAGCAAGAAGGTTGCCAGAACAAATCCCACCTGGGGACCTTCCTTGGTGGAGTTTGCATGTTCTCTCCAGACATGGGCAACAGTGACTTTCATGACCCAGAAAGGAAGATGTGGGTAAAGACAATGGACGAATGGAATCTTGTGACTGYGAGTTGTTCAGTAATAAAAGGAAGATTTTCAACTACCACAGCCTAATTATTGGGCTTTGCTACTTTTTTTTGCCTAACAGGATGTTGGCAAGATCTCTACGTCCCTGATTCTGAAAGTTTAGAAATGTCTGCTTGCTACCATAAAAAAAAAAAAAATAAATAAAAAAACATAAAAAAATGGATTTTCTGAAAAGTACCACTTGCACAACCGTGTTAGAAAAATGTAAAAATAGGATCTTCTCTTCTGTGGTTGAATACATTTTAATTGAAGACAACCTTTCCATTTTTTTATTTCAGAATTGGCGAGTGTGGAGTTCCAAGCTTTATTTATTTATTTATTTAGCTGCATGAAGTGCTCCATTTATGCAAGCTGAATTCACATGCAAATTAAAATCACTCCCCTCCTATCTGAGGGTCAGTAGAGTCTTTGTGTGTTTCTTACAAGAAAGATGTTTTGGACACATTCATGAAAGTGTGAATTAGAGTGAAATTGACAGGGTGTCGYGCCTAACTCTCCATTGTATGTGTTGGAAAGCTGAAATATGAGACCTCTTTCWCTGTTGGCCCATCTCAGACCTTTTTTGGTAGTTCCCCTGGGATGGTTGGACTTAGGGTTGCCAACTCAACCCCTGCAAAATACAGGACAGCTCTGCCAGGGGCRGGGCTTAATGGTGTAATGTGTCAGTTATGACATCACACAATATCTCCATTTCCCCAACATTTGAGTTACATCCACCTAAACCAGATTTATTCTTGTTTCTGTCATTTGCATATAACTGATGGATTAAAAAGAAGGATTTAATCAACACAATGTTTTTAATTATTTTTTACAACCTTTCAGCTGCTGATGGCCACAGTAAACAGATAGATAAAGAAATGCAAAAATAAGCATACATGTTGTTGTGATTCAAACTTTTCTAAGCATTTCCCACTTCAGAAAATTACTGTTCGAGAGCAGATTTATTAGATCAGGACTATACTACAATTAYATAAACATTATTCTTTATTTGGCAATTTCTGTTTTTTATTTCATCCATGTTTTCACTGGTTAGGTCAAATGTGTCATTAAATAGCTTAACAATATGTTTGTGACAGCTTTTAGATTTATAATGTCAAYTTATTATAGAACTATGGTCACCCACCACACTAACAACAGCCTATAGGCTATGTTCAAATGCRACCTAAATCAGATTTTTTTTCCCGACAGCATGAATGTGACAGATTCGACATTTTCAAATCTGACCCAGGTTTTTTCAGTATGTGGTACTAAAAGAGATATACACTATATTGCCAAAAGCATTGGCTCACCTGCCTTGACTTACATATGAACTTAAGTGGCATCCCATTCCTAATCTATAGGGTTCAAAATGATGTTGGTCCATCCTTTGCAGCTAGAACAGCTTCAACTCTTCTGGGAAGGCTGTCCACAAGGTGTTTGAGGATTTTTGACCATTCTTCCAGAAGCACATTTGTGAGGTCACATACTGATGTTGGACAGAAGGCCTGGCTCTCAGTCTCTGCTCTAATTCATCACAAAGGTGTTCTATCAGGTTGAGGTCAGGACTCTGCAGCTTCTCCATCCATYCATCCATTTTCTTCCGCCTATCCGGAGTCGGGTCGCGGGGGCAGCAGCTTCAGAAGGGAGGCCCAGACCTCCCTCTCCCCAGCCACTTCTTCCAGCTCCTCCGGGGGAACCCCAAGGTGTTCCCAGGCCAGCCGAGAGACATAGTCCCTCCAGCGTGTCCTGGGTCTTCCTCGGGGCCTCCTCCCGGTGGGACGTGCCCRGAAYACCTCACCAGGGAGGCGTCCAGGAGGCATCCTTACCAGATGCCCGAGCCACCTCAACTGGCTCCTCTCGACGTGGAGGAGCAGCGGCTCTACTCTGAGTCCCTCCTGGATGACCGAGCTTCTCACCCTATCCCTAAGGGAGAGCCCAGCCACTCTGCAGAGGAAACCCATTTCGGACCTCGTTCTTTCGGTCATGACCCAAARCTCATGACCATAGATGAGGGTAGGGATGTAGATCGACAGGTAAATCGAGAGCTTCGCTTTYTGACTCAGCTCTCTCTTCACCACGACGGACCGGTACAGCGCCTGCTTTACAGCAGACGCTGCACCAATCAGCCTGTCGACCTCCGGCTCCCTTCTTCCCCCATTCGTGAACAAGATCCCGAGATACTTAAACTCCTCCACTTGAGGCAAGATGACCCCCTTGACCCGTAGAAGGCATTCTACCCTTTTCCGGCTCAAGACCATGGAGGCACTGAGCCTCATCCCGGCCGCTTTGCACTTGGCCATGAACCGCTCCAGCGAGAGCTGCAGATCATGTTCCGATGAAGCCAACAGGACCACATCAACCGCAAAAAGCAGAGATGCGATCCTAAGGCCTCTGCAGCTTCTGTCACATTCCATTTGACTCACATCACTGAGGTGGAGGTTGACAGATTGACCCACTAACCTCGAGTCATTCAGTTTAAATCTTGTAAATCCACATATCTTCAGCTACTGAACAGAAGTCCAGTTGCTTCATCGTTGTTCTTTTAATTTTCCATGTCCTGGATGAATCCACAGAAATATATGATAGTAACATTTGTCTCTCTCGGACTGTATCAATATTAAAGTTACTGGATCTATACTTCCAGCACGTTGCCTTTTTTCATAAATACAAGCTGCAGCGGATCAGCCAACCAGAAGCAGGTTCAAATGTGAACTAAACAAGCATGCCAGATAATTATTTAACCAACTCTGACTGCACAACAACTTCATAATCGACAGGCTACATGTAGCTTGTGCTAAAGCTCAGTAAACAAGCTAATGAAGCTGCTACAGTCATGGGGCCCCTTAAGGGGGGAGTGCAAGTACGACAGTCATTTCAGTGCCCTCAGTGTTTCATATGGTCATTGCATTTGGCTAGTACAGTAATGTCCCTCTGGGTCCCCCTCCAGTTCATGCCTAACTGCCTGCTGTAACATGACGGCTCTGATTGCAGGCGGCTCTCTGAAGATGGGGAAAAGACCATCCTGTGTGGGTAACTTCAATTTAGCTGAAAATATGGGACATCCCGGCAAATAGGGACAGTTTRCAACCCTCGGGTTTGTTAATCAACTATAAATCGTTGGCTAAGTGAACTGCTTTATTTTTCTTCTTTTGTTACTCTATCATAGTATGTGTCTTTTCTAAACTGTAGTTATGCTTGAACTTTTTATGTTTGTTTTTGTTTTTTAATTAAGTGCATAATTGCAATATGTTGTGGTCATTTCAAAGCTAATTATTTTATAATGAGCATGTTCTCTATGTGACATGGGTTKTTGTAATCACTGGTCATTTAGCACGGTTCTGATCTGCTGGGCGTTCAGCYTGCATGTCTGTGCATGATGTATAAGAACAAATTTAATAGGTTTTATCTGTTTGGTTGTAATTAATTTTTGCTCTGGTCTGTTCTGTTGTCATCAAATCCTTTCTAAGTGTGATCATGTGACCGGTCAGRAGACCTATAATRTTTTTTTCTAAACTGGGACTTCATTACTTGTTCTGCTTATAAGCTCTAGGGCAGGGTTTCTTAAATGTTTTGGGTCTGGGGACCCCTTACAAGGGTGAAAAAATTCCAGGGACCACCTTCTAAACCTCATGCTGTTTTAAAAATAATTTACTGTCATGTTAA